CTTAGCAGCTGTCTGGGATTCCAGAAACTAATATTTTTTGATCACAGCCTTTCAGCATTGGTTTGCAGATTATTAGAGACAGCAAAATGTCTGTATGTAACATTGTTTGGGAAAATGTATTAGTAGGAACATTAGAATTTTATGTAATTCAGCAGATGATAGCTCATAGCAGATGATCAAAGTCCAACTTTCATCTTCACCAACATCTTAAAGACCAAAACATCATGGATAATCCATGCTGACACTCTGAACTGATTCCAAAGCACACAAAAATAGAAAATATGTAGAAAGGATACACCTGAATATTGTACTGTACACAAAGCAGTTTCATTTGATGAGGACTCACAAGCTCTAACCTGCTCTAAATTGCCCTTCCACAGCACCATTATCCAGCCACATTCTCAAACATACCTGCACTTCAGGACCTGAGAATCTGAGGTTAGAAGCAAGGACTGGTTTTCAAAACACTGATCAGCACTCCCACACTTACTTAGCCAGGATGCCCATGCTCAGGAACAACTTGATAACTTCAGTGACACACACAGCCGTCGTTGAAAAGTAGAGCTCTGTCTCCACTGTCCTGGTGTACCGCAGTGCCACCGTGTACGTGGCAGCAACCAGGGTCATCACCGTGAGGCAGTACAGCTTGAACAGTAAGCTGACATTTTCTGAAACAAAACACAGGAGACGACTCAGCGTGACCCCCATTTTAATTTAAGAACTGAAACAGTGTGTTCTCCAGCTGGAGGGGTGTATCTGTGTCAGCAGACAATAATTACAATGTTAGGAAACACTTTCCATAAAAAAAATTTGGTTAAACTTTACAGCCTTCTCAAAGAAGCTTGTACAGGAATCCAAGTGTTTGAAAATGAGACGCTCTCTTGCCCTTGTAATCATCCCTCATTCTAGAAAAAAATAATCATACATTAACATTTATCTACTAACAATCAAAAAGTCTTTCTGTGCTTTCCTGCTCTTTAGCTGACAGCAGGTGCTTGCTCTGAAATAGCAGCTGATCCTCTTCGTGTAATATAACTGAACTCAACACAATAACTGAACTCAACACACTGACAGCAGGTGCTTGCTCTGAAATAGCAGCTGATCCTCTTCGTGTAATATACTGAACTCAACACAAAGAGCATTGGCAGACTAGCAAAAGCAAAAAGAGAGGAAAAGTTCAGTATAAGCAAAGAAATCTAGCAAATCTTAATAAAAAAGACAGCATTTCTGTCAGCCCTATTTTCCACCTAAGTTAGTAAAAGAAGAAGATTTTGCTCTGAATGGTGGTGGGACTTCACACAAAGGACTTTAAAAAATCCCTGTGGAAAGGTCTAAGGTTAAGGCTCTTGCAATAAATTAAACCACACAAGGACTGTGTATCATTTGTGCTATCCCCTCTGTCTTCCCCACTGATATACTCCCACAAAATAGCAATACTTGTAACATTTGACCTGGACCAACTACTATCCTGCAAAATTTTGGAGTTAGTCTGTCCAAGGTCCCCTGGAGGAAGGCAGTTTTTCATCCATACTTCTTCAAGGCCTGAGAGCTCCATCAGGCCACTCCAGTGCATTCCCAGCTCAGGGAATGGCTGAGCCTGCATCTGAACCAGCTAGGAGAACAGCACACAACTCCAAATGGGATTTCTCTGTACGAAGGCAAGACCCAACATGAGACATCAGCAAATGTCTCAGCAATGTGTCTGAGCCACAGCAAATGTGTGGCTTGTACAAAATCCTTTTTCACACTGGCAGATTGTTATGTTGGGCATCTCTCTGGTGGGTATTGGTCATTCAGCAGCACCTTTGGGGCCACTGTCATGTTCTAAATAGCCTAAAGAAATGTGTTTTAATTGGTGTGAGTTTGTATTCCTCTGCTGATTAGGGAATGAGATACAGGATAAGTAGTTTTGTAATAACTTTGTTTATTTAATAAAGGAATGAGTTGCTGAATCCAGTGCAACTAATGCTTTGGTTCATGTTACTTTCAAACTAGAGATGTCTTCAATTGCATAACATTTCTGCAAGGTACAGTTAATACCTCCTGCCACTGCAATCATTTAAATTAGCTACTTCCTTATAGATAGAAATCTTATGCACGTCAGTAACCACTTTTAAAAGGTAGAGCCAATTAGTTTTTGGACTAACAATGCTTAGAAGAGACTTACAAGCTGTAACCCATTTTTAAATTAAATTTGGATTGTGGGGAGGAAATACAAGGGCATAACAACCAGGAAATATAACTAACCCCATCTGGTTTCACAAAAACATATCTTCAAATGATGTTTCAGTGCTGACAGAAATTATATTAATGCTGTGATTTGACACATGAAGATTCTAAGTCTATGCACCACCAAACTAAAGCTAAACTTAATCCTTGCCTCTAGTACTCTACTCTCAAAAAAAAAAAAAAAAAAAACAAAAAAAAAAAAGCCCCAATTTGGCAATGGTTTGGAAACTTGGGTAAGCCAAAGGCAGCAAGACATAACAAATCTAGTATCTAGACTAGATAGTTCCAGCACTATGTGAAAAGGTATTTCTAACTCTTTTCAGCCTGGACATTTCTTCAGCCTGGCTCCCATATCTGCACCAGTATCAGTGCAGCAAGGGGAGCAGAAGAAAGCATAGCTGGGGCACCCATAACCTCTGCTGATAAATCTGAACTTACACCTGCCTAAAGAAAAGAAGAGCTGGAAGAAGCTTTTGGGGATTTTTTCCCAGTAAATCCCACCTGGATGAAATTATTTCTGGCAAAAAGGGACCAGACAGGCCAAAAGCCTCAGGATAACAGTGCGAGCCTCCCACACATCTCCACGGCTCATCTAAGGGCTCCGCCAGGGCTCCTGGAAGGCAGCCCCGGGCCCAGCCTGGCACGGGAGCACACAGCCCGCTGCCTGCCGGGGTACCTGGGGCGGCAGGCGCCGGCACACACTGCTGGGGGCCTGCTGCCCCTCACCCGCCAGGCCCGCCAAGCCACTGCCGGAGCTGCGGCTCTGGGCAAGGCCTCCATGGGGGAGCTGGAAGAGGGGCAGGCGGCGCCGTCCGGGCGGATTTAAGCCCTCCTGGCTTGCCCGAGGGTCTGGCTTCGGGACCGAGCGGGCTCTGGCCTCGTTGTACACAGAATCCCTGAGAATCAGGGAATCAGTTAGGTTGGGAAAGACCTCTGGTGTCATCGAGTCTGACCTATGACCGAACACCACCAAGTGAACTACACCGTGCCCCGAAGTGCCACATCCAGTCTTTCCTTAAACCTCTCCAGGGATGGTGACTCCACCACCTTCCTGGGCAGTCCATTCCAGCAACTAATCATCCCTTCTGTGAAGAAATTCCTCCTAATGTCCAACCTAAACACACTCCAATATGCACCTGGGTGCGGCGGCGTTTGCAGGGGCACCTGCGGCACCCTCAGGGTGGGCGCAGGGGATGTCCCCGTGCACTGACCGCCTGCGCCCTGGGATAAGCCCCAAAGACGCTGCGCCAGGGTCAGACGCTCCCAGAGGGAACTGGTGGCGGGGGAGACGCGACTGTGGCTGATCCTAAAGGCGGAGGCGTCCCGGGGACCCGGCAAGCCCCGCACCGGGAGCACCCGCCGCCCACACGCCGGGGACGCAGCGGTGCCACACCGCGGGGAGAAGCGCCCGGGCGGCGGCAGGAGAGCGGGAGGGCGGGAAAGCAGGCGGGGAGAGCCCCTCCCCAGCGCGACCCCGCGGCCCCGCGTAGCCCCTTCCCCCCCTTCGCTCCCGCAGTAGTAGCGTCCGGTGCCACAGCTCCCAGCGGGGAGGACAGTTCCACTCCCTCTGGCAGGGGGAGGCAGGGGGAGTCTGCGCGCGGGTCGCGTTTCCTCTTGGGAAAGCGGGTGGAAATTGTCCCCGTTCTCCGGCCGTGCCTCCCACCGGAGCCGCGGGACCCGCCGGGCGCCCCGCGCCGCCGCCCTTACCTTTCGGAGGCGACATGGTGCTCGCCGAAGGCTCCAGGACCGCCGGGCCGGGGCCGCCCGCCGTGCCCCGCCGCTCCTCCCATCGCACCATAGAGTGCGGCGCGGCCGCCCAGAGCGCCCCGCCGCCCGCGCCGAACCATCGAGTCGAGCTCCGTCCCGCCTGGATATCCTGGAGAGCATCCGGCTCCACCCGGCCGCATTTCGGAACTGTTTCATTGGCAGCAAACATCCAGGAATCTCACACACGTATTTCTCATTGCCAGGAGCAAGCTCGTAGCCACCGACGCGTTTCTGCCGCGAGAAAAACCGAGATGGAGGTTACAATCGTATTTCTCAGTATTTTACAGCACTGCAATACCTTCTTCAGCGGCAAATAACAAAGTAGGATAAAATGAAATTTCAGTCATCGGTTTACTTTTAAATAAAATGTATTTCTGGATTATTGAAATACCAGTTTGTTGGTAAGAACTATAACATAAAAGCCTCAAAGCAAATAATGATAATATGGAGAGATCACAGCAATAATAAAGAAGCAACAGTAATTTTCTCTGGGAAAAAAAAAAAAAAAAAAAAGAGCTTCAGCTAGTAATTGCATTGATATTTTAATTAAGAAATCTAATCATTGGTGCCCGGTCATAATTTAAAAACATGGAGGAGCAGCACATCTAGCTGCTACTGATTAGTTTACTTTCCCAACAGAGAAAATCACGAAGTCAAAAACAATTTAGCAAAGTTCTTTCTTAGTGCTCCCCCCACGCTCCTTTGTTTTTTTTAATAATGCTTTGGGGATTCGTCCCTGTTGTGTAACTTTTAAAAGTGAAGCCAAACACCTTGGAAAACAACAAGAGAATGCTATCCTGCACAATGCCACAGAAAAATCACTCAGCAGCTTGAATCTTCCTTGTCACAAGCTTGTCTAGCTACGAGCCAGGAAACCACACTGTATCACAATGCACACACACACACACAAAAAGAGATTTAGAAACCTTAGCACGCCCTATGCAATCAGAGTTGTGCACCTGGACACTGTGCAGACAGCAGCTTGAGGAAGTCTTTATTGTCATCAAAAGAATCAAGAATCTCTGTTTTAAAGTACCCCATTTCCATTTGAGAAGATGTTTCATCCTGAAGCTCAAATAATTCGGGTTTTCACAAACAGAAATACCATCTGCAGTTGCATTGATCAGACCTGGCACATATTTCTTTGCCACAATGACATAAAGATAAAAACCTTTTCTCTCTTGTGCTTTAGTTTTTCAAACACAACTAAAACAGAGCTTTCAAAAACGTCCCCTGAAGTCAAGTTCCTATGGTTTGCAGTGTGCTCACCAGTACACTGTTTAGCCAGAAATTGCTAGAGACCTAAAAGGGTGCCAGAACCACCCAAAACAGGTGCCCTCTTCTCAACCTCCCAGCCTTGGTCTACACTCATTGGGTTGGGTTAATGCCAGCACAAACAGACAGGCCCAAAGACCCAGACTGGTTTCATTTTGTTGGTTTTGCCTTCTTGCCAATTCTGCTCTAAGACAGTATTTCAACAATTGTTGCATTAAAACTTCAGTAAAATCCCAGAATGCTACATATTTGAATGTTGGAAGTGAAAGTCCTTGGGAACATCTTGATTCTAAACTGCTATTTAAAATCTGTGCTTCAGGCTTATCACTTCTGTCACTTAATGCCAGTCAGCAGTCCCAACAGATAAGATAAATGAAATAGACCAACTGTTCCTGGAATCAACAGACATAGCAAAATCTTTTGTGTCTAAATTCAAATATATTCAGGGATTTTTATATACACATTCAAGATGCAGCTTCAGGTTTTTCCTTTTCACTTAAGTTTCATCCAGTGGTCTTGTTAAGTCTACTGTGACCATATGAGTAGTGGGAGATGATCCTCCTCGGAGACCTTTCAAGAAAATCTGGGGTTTGGATACATTGCTTGAGTTGTCACGCTTAGTCTGGGTGCCAGCATCTTTTGGCAAGTACACTTGGGTGGAGTTCTCTCTTCTCATGTGGCTGAGATCAGTCTGCATGGAATGAGTTAACAAGCGGCGCAAGTTGGCCTAAAGACACAAAAAGAATCAGATTAAGCAAAACTTTGAACATTTCAGCACCAGGATATACTCAGGAATGTTTGTTTATTTTACATCCGTGGGCTTCACAAACCTGGACCATGGCCCACCTTATCCTCCTGACAATACACGGTTGTGACTGTGATTTGGTAAATCCTGATCTAACAGGATGTGTGAACAGCACTTTAGGTACCCCACACAATTTTAAATTAGTCTCTTAATAATTTCATACCACTGGTCATTGTCCTTCAAATTTTCTGAAATGCTTCACCTTTGTTTTGTTAGAATAAAATGTTTTTATGGCAAGTGCTTCCAGTCTTTGGTTTCTGCCAAATGTGATGAGGTTTAGAGGTTGGTGTCACAAAGTATCAGATAAAAGTGAGAAAATGCCTTCTTATACCATGTTGCTCACTAACTCCTTGACAAGGGGTAAAAGTTAGGGTAATTTATGATTAAAGCTGGTTATTCACAGAAATTGTCATAGATACAACAAAACTACTTCTCACAAGGTGTTAATATTCCAAAGCCAGCACTTGAAACAAAAAAAAAATCCTTATTCCACTGAGCCTTCTATGTCATCAACAATGTAAAACATTGTAAATTATGATATAATGTTCTCAAAATACACAAAATGCAGTCTCATGCTGGAATTCAGACCCCTCCAAATAAATGAGAAAGTCCCTGGAGTCCAGTCCAATCAGTGAAGACTGGATTCAGTGGAAGCTGGAGAGGGATACAGCTGGCCGAATGTCCTAAATGTTGTATCAGGGCAAGTTAAAATATTCTCCAGCCTCCACCACTGAGGTGTCTCTCTGCTGGAATGGAAGGTGAAGCACCTAAATGTAGGCACATTTTGGTACCTTAATCTACAGCTGAATCTTATATGCAGAGTCATCAAGCAGAATCCAGCAAAGAACAATAAGGAACTTACGGAAGAGATGGCATGGGAAGAAAGACAATATATTACGTCTTTTTTCTTTCTGAGGGTTTTAATGGCAGAATGTATGCTATTACAAGGAATTGTGCTTGCACAGACAAACAAATGTGAGCTAAAAATTTTACTTCTAGCAGCATATAGGTTTTCTAACAAAGTAATAGCTTAATATTTCATACCACTACAAGTTTTTGGCTAAGTATGAACAACACAAAAAAAGCCAAAGGCATGTGAACTCATCCTCTAACAAAACCCACAAATATGTCTGATGTTTTCCTGAAGTATCAAATTCATTGATGCACTGGTAAACTATTTCTGTTATTTTATCACTTTGTTATTAAATGTTTTATCACCTCTATATTACAAATTAGCATAGTCAAAGCACTTTTGCATGCATCTGGGATTTTTCTTTCAGCTCCACATCACTAATCTCACATTTGGACAGCTGAGGCTAAAACACCCTTCAAAGTACATTCTCTAAATATTTCAAACTAATGAGCTACAAATTTGTTTGGGAATGATCTTCATGACCAGATATTGGAAAATATCCACTTTTGCTTATACTGAAGAGCCACTGACCACATCTTATGTTTATTTATGAACTTTTGTCCTTTACAGAAGCAAAAGAGATTTTTAACTAGGTTTCTTGTAAACCTAATTGGCTTCTTTATATACCTCAGTAACAACTATTTCTTAGAATCCTTATGACCTAGCAACACTGGCAAGACAACTCAGTCCAAAATTTTGGTTTCCTTTAATAATGTCAGAGATTTCATGGTAAAAAGGCAAACAGAAAGGAAATAGGTTGCCCAGTAGACCACAGGCCTCCACAGTGCATCTGTTCACAGAAGAAAATAAAACCCTTTAGTATTATATGTTCAGTTGATATTGTTAACTACAATATTCCCTGTACTCACAAGATGTTAATTTTGATTGAATTCTGAAAATCAGGTGCTATACCTTGACAACTACATGTGCTGGCAAACCCTAAAACTAAGCTTCTGACACATTTACTGTTAATTTAAAAGTTTTTATGTACTTATGTCATCAACCTTCTATGGACAGACTGTGATTTCCAATCCATCAGAAAATCCTGATAGTATGACAAACATTTGCTCTGGCTTTTTCTCACAAAGAAATTATATAGTAGTATCTTCAACCAATTAAATTGGTTTGAATGTAGAACAACCTTAATATTCAATGCAATTAAATTCAAAACAACAAACTCTTACCACATAAAGAAGGCAACTGAAAAATCTGAAATTAATAGATACAGCAGCGGAAGCACTGCTCAAAAAAGCAGGGAAAAAAATGGAAGAAGTGAAAGAAGTCTAAATATAAGGAGAGAGAATATCTAGAAAAAAATTGAACCAGTTGTAATGAAGGGTATGTCTTTGAATAAAAAGTTAGATTTATGTTTCAAGGAACAAAAGTTAAGAATAATTTATTCTCAAATTTGTTATATCCAACAATGAAAATCTGGTAATAACAGTACAAACCAATTTTATAGCTTTTCTTCTCAGTTCCCATTCATTCCATTCATATGATCTCACAATAGTTGGAGGCAAGATATGAGTATCAGTTTGAGTACCAGTCTCACGTTTTGGGGGTGGTTTCATCGAACTTTTGCTTGCCTTTCTGGCCTGGATGAAAAGAAACAACCAAATCCAAGCAAGGCATTGAGAAGAATACACAGAAATAGCATAAGGGTATGGTACTTTTTAAAAGCAAATAGAGACCTGCAAACCACAAGTGGATAATGATTTTTACATTCAACAATGTTTTTGTTCCCCATGCCCCCACTAAAAGGAAAACACTATGTACTTGATGGATTTAATTTCTGACACAAAACCTTTGAGGCAGAGGCCACAGCTGAGTTGCAGGCTCCTGTCTACCTGGTGAGTGCTTAATTGTTGGATTTTAGAAAAAACGGGTCCCCTCAGTACAAGTACTTTATGATGCAGGCACCCCAGTTTGTCTTCATGAATGGACTGAAAATCACAAATCATAACTGGGAGAAGTGCACAGATCTCTGCTATAACTGGGATATAAACTATGTTTCAAACCAAGGGCCAGTTCAAGACTACATTCTTTCCACTGCTAGGGATCTAAAATTCACAAGTGGATCACAGAGAATGTTGTCTATAAATCCAGATCAAGCCTTTGAATTTCACAGAATAACACCATCACATTCATTATTGATGACTCTCCTTTTGTTTTTTAATATGTTCCATAACTCCTGTCCCCAGATATCACTACACCCTCATCCAGCACACAGGGATGGACTGCTAAGCTAAAGCTCCAGTTAATGGGATATCTGACATATCTTTTGTTGCATTTATTTACTGGTCCTTTAAGCTACTTTTTCAAAAATGAGGAAAAGAAACATCAGACACAACACATGCCTAGGCTGTGGACTAGCAGCTTTTATCACTGCCAGAATGCTTTGGATTTACATATTCTTCTATGAATAGAGAAGGTGAGAATGTCACTAAGCAGAAACATTCTTCAACACTCTGAAGACCTGGAAAAGATGGACCTTCAGACAGGCAGAGGATTTTACTTCTTTCCTAAAGATAGGTATCATCTGTTCTCTTTTAGAAAGGACAGATCAACCAGTGACCCAGCAGCTGTTTAGCAAGAGGCACGGGCAGTGTGTACCTGTGCGTGTGGAACAAGGTATTCAAACTGATGACGGAGCTCAAGCAGTTGAATTAGCTCTGCATATTTTTTTGCTTTTTCTATATTCAATTGAATGAACTTATCTGGATCTTCAGCAAAGATGTATGCAGCTTCTTTTGAACTGAATACATAATATTTCTCCTTGTGCTTCAAAATTCCAATAGCAGGATTTCCTAAAAATGAGAAGAAAAACCAACCCAAAATAAGCCCCACAAATTAAAATAGTGAACAGTATGATATCCAACACAAAAGACATTTGTAATCAAGATTCTGTGTTTTCCTCAAGTTAGTTTCACTTCCTTCATTTCTGAACTCAGTATAAACCCTTAAAAACAAGCTTTTTTAAAATATAGAAAACTCTGTTTTGTTAGGTCAGTAAAACTGCTTTTGATCAGTTCACATCCAGCATGCCTTAGGTGCATGTCTCAGAAAAACAACTGATAAAACACATATAGCAAAGGCACAAGAAACCAGTCTTTATCATCCAATGTTTCCCCTAAAATCTCCAGCAAATATCTGATTGCAGATCAGAATTGCATTTATACCAAAGGTCATAACACTGAGATGAACTGAAGAAGCAGATAAAGCAGCTGGGAAGCTGAACAACAAATTAACAGAGAAAACGAAGTGTCAATAAAGGCCAAATAACTTATACAGGAAAACACAAACTGATTTCAAGGACAGTGGCAGGTTGGGCTTCAGATGTCATTGCCCAAGAAAGACCAGAATCCTCATAGACAGTGCCTTGAACATACTCAGTCAAAAAAGGAATTATTAGTATGCAAACAGAGGAAGAGAAGAAAACCAATATTATAACAAACTGTAATAATATTTGTAATAATACATTTTGTTCCAACACAACAGAACAAGTAAAAGGCAGCTAGGGGTGATCAAAGGCTTGTGATACCTTTCATAGAAGGAGGGGTTAAAGAAGAAAGCCTCCTCAGCATTAAAAAGAAAAAAACAAATAATATGATAGGGGTTATAAAACCACGAATTGTGTGCAATATAAAATTACTATTTAGTAATTTTCCTAACAGAAGGACTATCTTTGTTGAAATTATCAAGCCAGAGCTTAAAACCATCTCAAAAAGAGGTACCTGTTCACAGCATATATAATTATAATTGTGGGGCACTTGAGAATAAGAACATCCCGTGACAAACTCTAGATGGATTCCAAAATCAATTAGATAAATGAAAAACCTCTTTGAAGGATTATTCAACAGAAGGTTACAGACTCAACATTAATCAGAGGAAATCCCATAACCACCAACTGCTAGAACAAGAAAGGATATAATTAAGGAAAGATCACTCTGACTTGAATTCTCATAATTTTCAAGTGTTCATGACTGTCCATGTGCAGTAATCAGATACAGGGCTAGAGAGACCTTCAATCCAGCTAAGGACAGCTGTTCTCATGTGCAATACTAAGTAAGTGTAAGTAAATTACATTGCCATAAAAATATCTGTTCTTTAATGCTGACAAGTAAATGGTCATATTTTCCTCCCCAACTCCCATAGGCTTAAAAAATTTCTATATGGACAGGTTCTAGAAAGGATAGGGAGATGGAAAACATGAACTAGGATAGCTGAAATAAGGCTAACTTTCAAGACAAATGAGCATAGAGAGACCAAAAATTTCTACAATTAGTTGACCTAATCAAGTGCACTTTTGCATTATTTTCAGGGAAGATTTTTAGTACTTTGTCATGACTATTTAAAAGTACATATGAGGTAGGCATGAATGGTTATGTTTGCTACATATGGATGCACAAAATAGAAGGAATGGCCCTTTCCCTATGCCTGCATTACTGCACATTAACAAGAGTAACCAAACCTGTATTCAGCTGCAGTGTAGGTTATACAGACATGCATAGAGCAGGAAGAAACATTTATCCATCCCATCTTGTCTCTGCTCCTGCTTCCTCTTCAACCCGTCCTGCCTTCTACTAAGGGCAGTTTATTTGAGTATTTAAAAAAAAAGATACTTTAACACAGGAAATAAGTTATCTGGGGTGAAAATTGCAAATGTGGAAAAACAGTATTCCAGTTTTGACTGGAATAAGAGGATGCATTCAGAATGCCTTTACATTTTTCCTAATCTTTGTGTAAATATACAGTGTGGAAAATACCTAACTACAAAGCATACCTGGTAGGGTGATACCTTTCACACCAATTGAATGTGCACAGAAACCATGGTACTGGATCAGCAACTGATCAAAATTATCAGTAGTCTCTGGAAAAAGCCATTCTTGGTTCGTGAAATCAGAAACATTCACTCTGGTTCCTAAGAAAAGATAAAACAAAGGAAGGACTTCAATATTAAAATATCAGATGACTAAAAGCTAATAATATTACAGGATGACCAGATTACTCTGGTTTTCACAGGATGACCTTCAATGTCCAGATCCCAAAAGCCAAACTTTAGGCCTGCCTTGAAACAGAACCTACTGAAAATCAGTTCTGCGAGAACCTTCTTTAGTAGCATTAGCTTTCTTCGAAAACATGGGACAACAACAGGAAGGTAATATTTTATTCTTTGCTTTTGTTTTCACCCACATGTGCATAACAAACTTCCTGGCATAAAACTTGGTTCCTAGGAATACATCTTACAAACAAACTCTTCTGGTAACCAAAGCCCCATTAAATTATTTTGGTTATACTCTACCCCTCAATTTCCAAAGTTCTGAAAGGTATAAAAAGACATGAATACACTTTAAAAAAATTACAAAAAATTATAAATATTCTCTGATCATTCTGCCATTTTTGTACGGTATATTTGTATCTAGAAGCTCTATTTTAATTTTATATGTAAAACTAGAATCACAAGCTACACTACATGAAAATGTAAATCTACACCCTACAAGGCTTATTTTAATTTACTGTGCAAATTCGGAGTTTTAAAAAATCAATATATAGCACCTTCTGTAAAGCACCTATTGTAAAGAAAATTCAAACTACAAAATCTTGGAAAACTAAGGAAAATTTAAAAATTTCAACTTTCCATACCCATGGTTTCTTTTATCCTTTCCACATCACTTTTCACGGTAACTCCTTCCAGAAGAGATGTTAGCATTTCCTCTGGAAAAAGCTGTGATTGGATTTCCAAGAATTGTTGTAGATTGTCAGCCATATTTGTGAGGAAGGTTAGCAGTAGCATTTCATCCTGAAAGCCGGTCCAAAGCTTAGAAAGTTCCATAAACAGAGGCTGGAACATAAAGAAAATTATTTGAAATGCAGATATGAACAAAGGAGGGCCGATCTCCAAGGCCTTCAGCAACCAGAAAGTCCAGGGGAACTTGGGGGACACTCTAAGAGGAGCTTCCATCACATATGCCTAAAGCAAGTATATCCAGCATGTCAACCCACAGGCAAGAGTTGTATTTTTCTATATTTTACTCCAGAGCCTTTCTCAAATAAATGTACTCTGTGACCATGCTTTGAATTTACCAAATGACAGTCCAGTTTTATAACTGAAAATATGGTGTACAGGAGTAAGAACCAGAAGGAACACACCTGATTCATTACTAAAGTACGTAAACCCACACCTATATACAAACTACCAGGTTTTGTTATTTTGTCTGCCCTGCTCCAGAGTGACTTGGTACCACGGCCCCCAGGCCATCATATGTGTCAAATGGAAGAGGTGCAGGCCTCTTCACAGTGGTCCAGGGCTCAGGGCAAAACTGGAGGCTGCCCTTCCCAGCACTGACATGCTGTTGGCATCCAGGTGTAGGCACATAAAGAAGTAGCCTATAAGCTTTAAGTTTCAATGCTGTTTTCAACGACAGTGACATAAAATGGGCCCTGTTACATCTAAACACACAGAGAGCATTTTACAGGAAGAGATTCAACCAATCTGAAATGTACATTTAACCACACATTTTATGCATGTTAACAACACTGTCATAAGAGCAGCCAACAGAGCCAGCTCTGGAATTCATCAGCATTGCTAATGCTGTGGAAATGTTATGGTTACAAAAATGGAAGAAACTAAAGGAAGATCAAAAACATTCTTAATAGAATAAGCAAAAAAATATTAATGAAATGTGCTATTTTTCCTAAAACAAATGTTGCCACACATATAGGCCTTATCCTATTCTTTTTAAAAGACAGAATGCCCTGCTTCTCTGTCTTTGTAGAGGATCTAGCTTGTCAGCAACAAGCCAAAAACAACAAGTTATTTAAATGGTCTGTTAATAGAAAAATCTCTACCTGAAAAGGATCTAAGTCAAAAGGCATTACATATTCTGTCTTCAGCAGAGAAGACAAAACAACTAACCAACCAGAAGAGAAAAAAAATTCCAGGAAGACAGCAAACAACAGACAGCTTTTAGGGAAAAGGGTAAGGTATATCAGTCACTCAAGCCCCACAAAGATACAGAAGAGGAAAAACTGCTTTGCATAGCTGGACAAACGGGGAAAATGTTCTCCAAATGAGAACATCTGGTTTATAAAATCAAAAGCATACATAAATTGGAGCTTGGATCACTCAGTTAAAGTGCTTTTCCCATGAGTTTCCAGCTTGGATGCTCTTATGGGAAGGGTAAAAAATACTCTGAGTAGGTGGGGGTCATGATCTTCCTCTTCCTTCACAGTAGACTTTATTTTGCTTTCTCATAATTAGCTTAGAATATTAAAAAATAACCTAAAACATATATGAAACTGCATGCTGGTGTAGCAGCTAACCACAAAGAATTGGAATGATAATCAAATCTCACAAAATAACGAGCTCTTACAAGAAAAGCAAATTAAATGAAGCTGGTTTCTAGAATGTTTCTCTCCTGTTTCCTTGACAATATGCCAGCATAATAATCCCAGGTTTTCACAGGCTCATTAAGCAGCCTCCCTCATAATACAATATAATAATATACATAAATATAATAATAATGCTGTAGTTCACAGCACTCATTCCCTTTCCCCCTAATACCTCCTTCCCATGTCCTGTAGCTCCCAACCAAGGGGGCAACAGTACAGAATATCAATCCTTCAGTGTCTGCTCACTGGCCAGAGAGCACACAAACCCTACTTCAGACCTGATCTTGGTAAGGCTCTAATTGTGTGTCTCTAGTTGCTCATTTTTTCCCCATAAAACTTGCAGAAAATGACATATTCTGAGATCTTTGGACTCTGACAAATGTGACTGAAACTTGCCAACAGGTTCAGAAGCTATTGGGAGGGGAAAAGAAGCCCAACACTCCCATCATAGAAACCCAGTTTCTTCAGAAAAATTATATCAGTGACTCATACTGTAATTACGGGGATTGCTATGTGAGGGAACTTTAAAAGAATCATACTCTGTTGGGCCGTTTTCTGCAATCATTATGCTCTTATAGTTTCTGCAAGGAAAACTATATATACACACACAAAAAAGGAAATATACAAATAATGACAACTCAAGACACTTACAGTAAAATAACATTTAATTCCTTTGCTCCCTTTTTGTACCTTACCTTTTTCTTACCTTAAGAGCAAGTCTTTTGGTTGCCCCTTCAAAAATCACAGATGATATTGTACTAGAGAGAAAATTTGTAGCCTCTTGCTAAACATAAACTATTTAAAAACACACCAGCAAAGTATCTTACTTTAATAATGTTTTCTACTAAAGAAGTAATGGGTTTTCTACTCATAATACTTACAAAAACTTCTCTGGACTCTATGGAAGTCTTATTCTGCACTGTGTTTTTCAATACCATCATTGCTGCTTCAAACTGAACATCCAGTGATTCAACTTCTTGAGCACTTGTAATTGTATTAGACTGGAAAGAGAATATCAGGTAAGACATATCATAGTCCAAAAATCAAGTATTTAGTAATAAGTATTTACCTGGGCCTCTTCATTCAACTATTTTCAGAACAACTGTTTTAGGGAATGAAATGTACTCTAGCTATCCACAAAATAAATTTTTCCTTAAATGTTCAGGTGTTCAGGCATTTCAGTCACACATAAACTATCAATTTTTATAGAAAATCCTCTACATTTTCCCAATGAAGAGAATAAAAAAAAATTTTTTTTCAATGCTTTATACAGGAAAGACTAATAAAACCTGCAGTTTCTCAAAAGACAAATGAAAAGCTCTTTATTAACAAAACAAGAATTTAAATGGTATTCTTCAAAGACTTTTGATGACTCCATATATTTTGGGGGTGTCTGCAGACTAAAACTGAGATGATTTATGGATTGATCAAGGAAATTTTTTTCTCTCATGCCTTTTGGGGCAGAGAGTAAGTATGCAAACAACTGTTTAATGGTGGACTTTGCAGTGCCAGGCTAATAGGTTAATGGTTGGACTTGATGATTTTAAAGATATTTTCAAACCTAAACAATCTATGGTTCTTTATCTAAAGACATGTTTTATTTTATTTCATTTATTTCCAAATATTTTTTCTTTTATTTCTATCCTGTGCAAGTAGGTAACTTGAAGACATTCCATCTGCAATAAAAGTCCACAGGGACTTTTATATCATTATTTAACATCTCACCTGGAGGATGCAAAGGAAGGCTTCGTACTGTCTCACATTGAATAGTGCTTCTTTCAATTTAAAAAACTTAAGCTGGGAGAACCTTTGGGGGTCTTCCTGCATGGATTCCAGCAGGGCCGTGTAGCGGTGGGCCAGCAGCTGGCAGGAGTTCAGACGTTCATCGAGAGTCTGTGTGGCCGAGGGAATGGCTTCACTCAGGATGCCTGGCACTATCCACATGGGATAAATATGAAATATGTATAAAAAGAATTAATAAGATCATTATCACATAGTTAAAGTGCAGTATTTGAACATAATGGTCCTCCAATGAAATTTTGATTTCTACATTTTGTTCTTATATTCATGCATTTCCAAATACTTGCAAACCAGATTCAACTCAGGTTGTTGCAAATGTTTAGAATTACAGGTGTGGAAATACCACAGTCAAGTCAAGGAATGTGAGAAAACTTGCTTTATAGAAGATGCAACTCTGTTGCTACAACAGACATGGGCTTCCTGAGAGAATCTGCCCAATTTTCCATTCTCAGTTTCCTAATTTGTAAAATACCAATAACAATAACATGCCTTCCTGAGATGGGAAATTATTGGAGCAGCTCCAGTGAAGAAGTCCAGGCAAAATGAATTGGGAATACCCAGCTCAAATGCAGTTGTGTACTTACAGTCATCAATGCAGCTTCCTCCTTTCTGGCACTGCTTGTTGTACAAACGAATTCCTGTCACTAGCATGGCAAGATCTTTCAGCTGTTGTTCTTTGTCCTTCTTACTGAGTGAGATGAAAGTAATCATCTCTGTCTGTGGGAATACACTCTGCAAGGCAGCTGTAAGCATTACAAAGTGGAAGAAAACCCTCAATATAAGGGAACAGAAAAGAAAATCAATAAGCAAAAATAGCCTCTCCTGAACAAATGCAAAAAGCAGGAAATCTATGGGAAATTTGCACTTCAAGGCTGAGCAGTGACAGTTTGGATAGCAAGCATTCATCACAGTTTACCACGTTTGTATCTAAATATTAGCAAAGAGAAGGTGAAATTTTATTTTTTCAAGAAGAAAGCCCAGTTTCACAGCTGGGAGTTTACTGACCTGTTACCTCCCTGACAGCCTCAATATCTGTTGGGGATCCCAGGCCAGATCTCAGCAGCACATAGGTAACGATATTTTGATACACATTCTCCATTTCCTCTTGTGCACGTGGACCACTCTCTGTGATGGCTCTAACTACAGGAGCCAGTTTTCCTTCCAGAACACGCTCCTGTTCACTCAGTAATTCATCTAGGAAAGAAGGACACATAGAAAGTGCCATCTAAATCCTTTGAAATTTGGCTCATACAGAGGGTGCAATTCATTTCCACAGTCTTAAGTCATTTCCACCAACTTAAGGTTTCTGAAGAGATGTTCATAGTACCACACCATTAGAATTAAAAACAGCAGAGTTAAACATTAATAAAATTAGCATAATTAACATCAGTCAGTAGAGTCCTGAGAACTGTTCAGGCCAAACTAGACAGCAAGTCTCTGGCTCTCTGGACTCCTCTGACTGTAGGAGGACCTAACTTATACACACACATATTTCAAACACACCTAAAGTTACATGCTCAAGTCTGAATACTACTCAGGATCTCAAAAACTTGCTGGAGTTACTAAGCTTATACAGTTCAGAGGATTTAGGAGCAGCTTCCAGTGTTGTTAATTTTTGGCTTTAATCCATGCTAACAGGAAAACATTTTCATTTTCTCCCCACAGGGAAATGCTTTTTTCATGTCTATTCTCCTTCTGTGTCTTCTGTTTCCCAGCCAGCCTCCACTATCCCTTTGAGATCAGGAATTACAATTACAGCAAAGGCGTTTTCCCCATCTCGTTTTATTTTCACATTCACATTCTCAGACCATATGAAATTACTACTGATGAGACAAAAACATACTAGGCTAAATACTGTCACTGATTGTTCAAGATTACTCAAATCTCCCAGTTAAGGATATTGATAAAATACTGAGTTCTGAGTGCCTTCAGACACACAGGTGCAGGTGCAAGCTTTTCTTGCTGAAGGCAGCTAACCACTGAACCTGAAAGTGTAAGTGTCCTCAAGCAACCTAATACATTATATTCAGTAAATCTCTCAGACAGTATGAGAAGAGTGTACTCTCAAATCTAATGTACACTTAACCCTACTATATCCATACTGAAACATCAGACTCCTGTACTGTAAATTTCTCCTGGGATTTTTATTTTGTTTACGGCCAGGATTCATTTAACAGTAATTACTATTATTAATACTATTAATTGCTATTATAAATTATAAACTCAACATCAACTTCTATGAAAACATATTTGAAATTACCTCGGTTTGCATAGTTCATATCAAAGTAAACTTGCATCTTAATTGTGCTTAGGGATGGGTTTGTTGTGTCAAGCAGTCTGGTAACACAGAGCTAAAAAGAGAGTCAGAGAAGTGAGTTCTTTCTCCTCTCTGGGGGAACATCTGAACAGGCAGTGATCTACTAAAGGTTTCACAACAGCTGTAGAGCCCCCTCACTACCATTTTCTCCATAAAAAGCTTTTCTAAGGCATTTATTTATGGAAACATAGTCCAGTCTTTAGCTACAGAGCCATGAGAACAAAGCAGCATCAAAATTTTGAAAGTGTTCATGTAATTTTAGTTACAGGAACAGGTAGCAAATAATGCTATAGTCTTAGATAAGTAGTGACTCTCAACATCATATCAGAATTACCTGGATAAGATCCTGCATATCGTTTTCTGTGAGGATTCGATCCATATTAAAATCATTTCTTGGATCTAAAACAACAGCTTTCACCTAGAGATTGCCAAAAGAAAGATAGGAATTTGCATCACAAAATATCATCTTTGCAACTCACTTTTTATTTTCTAAAAAATCTCAGATGCATTCAAGATTTCTTTACTATTCTTTTTTATCCATTTCAGTCTTTGATAATGGAACAAAATTACTTCATTTCACATCTCACCAGTTTCAATCTCAGTTCTCAGGCCCAAATAAAAAAAAAATATTTTGTGATACAAATATTTAAATATAGCTCCTTTAAAAATTACTTGGAAAAATATTTTCCTAAGTAACATTTTTTGAAAATCCATCATAGTTGTTTATAAACTCCTAAATTGGTGTTATATGCATTGACATAAACATTTACCATTTGAATAAAAAAACCCATCGTGTTCTACATGCAGGAAAATAAGTCCATGTTTGCAATTGGTGTCCATGCTAGGTATCTTGCTGGCCACTTGTACGAATTTTTTACTCATTAAAATTTTCCTGCTTAATTGATTAATACTGCTTTTGAGCCCAATCTTTTTTCTAAAGCTCCAGTGTCACCTTTAGGGGAAAAAAATAGCACATTAACAGTACTGCTGTGAAGCATTTACATTTATATACAACTTTATTGAGAGCTGATCATAAATAAAGAAGGAATCTAGCCCATCCTTCTTCAGACACAGCTTTGCAGGCGTATCCAGACTATTTTTGCAGACTATATCCAGACTATATTCTGCAGCAGTGCTGTGTCTCCTAAGAGATGCCAAAATGTAAAACGTTTTTAGGATACTTACAGTTGTCTACCAAGGACAATACTGAGATTGATTCCATTAAATTTTCACTTTAAATGGGATCAAAGCCCACTCCTTCAAATATTCAGCCCATTTATACTACCTGGCCCTGTCTGAGCAGAGAAACAAACAAAATTATCCATCACAAGAGAGGGAGGAGGTGAACATCAAAGAATAAATATAGCTGCTGCATTAAACATTCACTGATGCATCACAGGCTCATTTATGAGAGTGTGAAGAAACGTTATTAAAACTTGGCTAAACTTCTCTTTTTCACTTCTGAAAGAAAGCAATGGTTTATGGGCCTGCAGGAGAAAGCTCCGAGTTGGAGTTCAGAGAGTTTTTGGGACTCAGGACCTACAGCCTTCTTGGAGCATTATATTCACACAAGATTTCAGGGGAATAAAGTTCTTCTTCAGGCTTTTAGGACCCAATACTAGATGTATTGGGTCCTTTAAAATACCTCACTGCAGGCAATTGGAAACCAAGATATTTCCAAGCTCAGGCCACCCCTGACAGCCCCTGACCGCTTCCTTTCGCGCTTACCATGAAGGCCACCAAGGTTTCCGAGAGGCTTTGTCCCTGGGCAGCGCACTCCAGGCCCACCTGGCGGACTATTCTCTTGATGACACTTTGGGTCAGCTCGCCGGACATGCTGGCCAAGCACACAGGCCTTGACCGGCTTGCATTCACTTCAGCGAGGGTCCCTCCGGCCCGTGCCCGCCGCTTGCTGAGCAGCCTGTCCCGAAGCCGAAGCTCCCCGGTGCCGCTGTCCCCGCGTCCGGCCGCAGGCCACGGGCGGGAGCGGCCGCGGCCGAGCGCCAGCCCCGGGCGTTGCCATGGGGACGCGGCCCGGCCCGGCCCGGCCCGCCGGGAGAGCGCCGAGGGCAGGCGGGCGTGTGAATTTACACACGGAGCACTGGGAGACACGGTTTGTGCCGGATAGAGGGGGCAGTGTCCGTGCAAAACTTACACGCCTGCATATACTCCAAAGACGCGGCTGTGGAGGCACAGGAGTGGAGGTGTGAGTGTCTCGGCACACACACGTCTGCAGCTATGGCTGTATGCAGGCGTGTGTAAATATGTATAAAGACACATGCATACCGTATATGTACCTTAATACCACAGAATCACATAATCGTTAGGGTTGGAAGGAACCTATAGAAATTATCCAGTCTAACCCCCCCACCCCCGCCAAGGCAGGGTCACCTAGTGCAGGTTACTCAGGAACGTGTGCAGGTGGGTTTGGAAAGTCTCCAGAGGGAGATCCATGATCTCTCTGGGCAGCCTGTTCCAGGGCCCTGCCACCCTCAGTGTAAAGTTCTTCCTCATGTTGAGGTAGAACTTGTGCTCCAGGTTATGGCCACTGCTCCTCACCCTCTCACACTGAGCACCACTGAAAAGTGTCTGGCACCATCCTCTTGGCACCCATCTTTGAGATATTTATGTGCTGTAATGAAATCCCCTCTCAGTCTTTTCAAGACTACAGAGGCCCACCTTCTGCAGTCTCTCCTTATGAGAGAGATATTCCAGACCCCAAATAGTTCTTATGGCCCTCCTCTAGAGCCATATATACTCATGCATACAATATATATCCCCCCCATGGCAGTGGGGGTCAGAACTAGGTGATCTTTAAGGGCCCTTCCAACCCAAACCATTCTATGAATGCTGGAGGGGGGCAGAGTGGGAAAAAGAAAACCTTCATGCCAAGCAAGCACACAGCCAAAACACCTGTGTGCTAACATACCACAAATCCAAACACAGCATCCAGGGAATGCTGATAAGCAAGGTAACTCCATCCCAGCCAGAGCCGGTACAGATAAATGTATTTACACACCTATAAATGCATACAATACGTAGATAAATTCACACATACATGTATAAACAAAATGTGTGTACGGTACACAGCGAGTGCTGCAGGCAGAGGCAGCACAGACGAGGCAACTTTGCAACACAAGCAAGAGAGCCATCTTTGCTTTCAGGTCTCATGATTGCTGCTGGAGGTGGCAGCTCCTCTGGGTGTAGTGCCTGCAAGTACTACAGGTACTGCCTGTGAGTAGCAGCCCAGTGAGCCCCAAGTTCCTGCACACACCAGTGGGCACACCACTGGATGAATGCACTGCCTTGCTGTAAGTGGTTCAGTTAGTCAATATGCAATTAATTCTAGCTTTTCCGTGTCAGATAGAGGAAAGAGTAATAGCATGCTAATTAAATTAAAAGCCATGTCCCTGAAAGGCAATCAAATAAGCTCAAAAGGCACAGGGAATGTAGGGATAACAGATGAAAAGCTACACCAGTTTTCCACTGATTTAATTTCTTCCCTTTGATTTACGCTGTCAGACAGAGGGAACTCCACTGAGAATCATGATGAGATCAAGATGGTAATTTTTTTCCACTGTGACCTCAGACAAGTCACTCTTATCTGTAAAATTAAGGTAATACTATGCTACCTGGCAAGTAGCTGCAGGGTTGCATCCATGTTGTCAGTGTGTGTACAAAGGTATAGTGCAAGGAGTGCCAGCATAACCCATGGGAAATGCTTTGGGAAGATCTGTGGAACAGGGATCAAAACAATCCTGCAATGGACATTGTGAAGTCTTAGGTTTCATTCTAGTAGCACAGCTAATGGGGCTTCTTAATATGTCCTCTGCACTGATATTTTAAATATTCTATACCCTTAAGCTCAGTAATTATAGCAAGACTTTCATCAAGAGAATAAAAATCTATAGGACCTCTTTTTCTACAAATTGCTGGATGAGAAGCTTTTGGGGCCCTTCCTGGAGCAGAAGTGTGTTGCTGTTAGTGAGCTTAGGGTCAGAGATTTTCCTCTGTCCTTCCTGGTAAATCACACAAGAACCAGCTCTTCTACAGATACAGGTGGGGAGGAGCAAGAGGAGAAGAAGAATGTAGTTTTGGGGATTAGAAGGAGTAAGAGAAGGTGCCAATGCCAGCTCTCTCCCTACAAAAGCAAATTTCAAGGTAGTCATAAACCTTGGTGCTCAAAGCTAGTGCTGGCAACTTCCTCCTGAAAAGATTATCAGCTAAAAGTGGACAGTTTTATGGAGTTCAACCAAACGCTGTCGGCAGTAGCGAAGGAGGTGGAGCTTGCAGCTTTGCAGAAAATCAGTTCCCATCCCATAACAATCAGTAAGACTTTTGCTGAATCTTTCACAGGCTTAGTACACAAATATTTTCAGACAGAGCAGGAATCTGCAGGTAGGGTTTGCTCAGGTTTTTAGTATGTAGGCCGAGCATGCATAATTGTGCAATTTTGGCTTAGCAATTTAAGGACTCTTTAAAGATGGTTTACAGACTATTTCAATATGTGTCTGTGTCTACATTTGCAATTAGCACAATCCCTACAGAACATTTGGTGCTGAGGACCTGACAGCCACAACATACCTACTTTAGCAGTTGTTACTTCAGACTAGCTTTGGTCTGGTCCTAGGGACTGGTGCTTTGTTTGTGGCTGAAGTGCATTGGGGGCACTGCCAATCTCCTTCAAGCTTAATTTCACACAAAATATTTACATGCTCAAAGCCTGCTGTAGTGTGCAAACCAAAGCACAGCAGATGAGGACTATGCAGAGATAATCTCTGTTAACAGGTGGTTGATCCTAAACTAAAAAACCACACACCTTAACATCCCACTTCCCCCTAGCATAATATTCACAGTCATGTTCATCTGCTGGAGTATTTCCTAGGGAAAAAACAAGTTTTCTAAAAAGCTACCAGTGCTAGCTCATATCCATAAATCCCAGCAGGAAATGTCCAACTGCCTGTACACTTTTAGGCTGCAGGATGGAAGGAAAGAACAACATGTTTTCAGTTTAGCATATTGAGAATTTAAATTCTTTTCTTGTTTTAAGCATTTCAGTAGTATTAATATATATATCACATAGCACTAGAATCCAAAAGAAGGGAAGGGAAGGGAAGGGCAGGGAAGAGCAGGGCAGGGCAGGGCAGGGAATTATTTATTTTCCAAAGAAAAGCATACTTTCAGGGAAGGTTTGTAATCTGTACTAGACCACAAAAATTACTTTAACTTATTTGTAACCTACTGAAGACTTTAGGTTGCACAACACTGCTTTATAACCCAACCAGTTGGATTTCTCTTGCAGAATTAGTATCAACTTTTAAACAGTTCCAGGAATGGAGGCCTGGTACCTGAAAGACAGATAAACTCTTCCCCCTGGCGGCGTATGTGGGGCATTGACAGACGGTCAGTAAAAAGATTCCTGGATTGTGATGGGAGGAATTCCCGGATTAGTTTGAAGAGTCATTCAAAACAACGAACACGGTTGTTTTTAAATCTCTGTAACGTTTGACACCGTAATGCTTTATTCATGGGAAAGAATATCAGCTATTTGACGAATTTGCTATCACATTAAACTGGCTATCACATTTAGGAAGTTACCCCTTTATCCAGCTATATACAGAAGATGGGATTTACTTAACAGGTTGCTCAAGTTTGAGCACATACCCTCATTTTGCTAGTGTGGGGACAAGGTTGCAGCTTACTTGCTCTTACACCACTGATCTGCAGAGGAAACAACCCAGAAGCAACTACATGCATGACCAGCAGTCCAGCACAGGGCACAGCCTGAGTCACATTAGGTGAACAGAGAGCTTGCACCCCAGAAGATAACAACTGCCAGGATGGCAAAAAGCACTGCTTTCTGAAGCTTCACCCACTGCCCTGTGCCCAGTGGAGATGCTGGGCTGAGCAAGAGTCTGTCTGAGTTCCATTAACACAGCCACATGCACCAAGGGATTCTGCAATCACTAATCCTCCAGTCTTTCCCACTCATGGCTCATCTGAAAGGGACCTTCCAGCTCAGTTAGCCTCTCTCTGCACTCAGGCCTCCTCTGACTGGATGCCCTGCTGGTGAATGAACACCAGCCCCTTGGCCTGAAGGTCTTCTGCTGCCACAAATACTCCAAGGCACCAGTTAAAGCTCTTTGAAGATGATACACCTAAGTGCAAGGATTTACAGCTGACAGGGCAGGACACAAGCAGAAGCTGAGTCCCTTTCCTCATCTTTGAAGTTAAAACATAAACTGGATGATGCAGGTTTTTGTTTTCTACTCTGCAGAGTCCTGAAACTACCTTGCACCTTGAGGCAGAAACTAAAGTCCACTTGATTACACTTGGTTGTTTCAAAGGAGCAGTGCAAGGAACGCCTGTCTTCACACAGGAATCTAAGGCCTGTCTCTTTTGAGAGGAAAATACATTCCATCTATCTGGCTTTATTTTCAAAGTGTCACAGAGAAGTGTCACAGTCAGAAATCCATTTTGTGAGGACAGACAAGTCACGCCACCTTTTTTAGCCTGTTTCTTAGTTCACAATAAAGCTGACTTTCAAAGCTGAGAATGTTTTGGTGCAAGGATTTTTATTCTTTCTTCCTCCTCAAATCTGTGTATCAACAAATGGAAACCTCTGTGCTTGTGCTGCCTTGCTTGAAGCACAAAGCTGTGGTGCTGGCCAACCGTGCTGACCAGCTCAGCTTTAAGGACATAGTCACACAAGAGCATGCAGTGCTATTTAAAGCTTCCATGACTCTCCTGAAAAGCTATGTGAGTGGTAGGTATGTAACCACTGCAGACTCACTGAGGCACAGTGCAGACTAATGGTTCACATTCAAAGGAATCCTAGTCAATATTTATAGCAATCATTTAGCATAGAGTTTAGGGTCTGACCCTCCCTTTTGGAATAAAGGAATGTTAGACTGTTCTTCTATTTACTTCTCCCAGCTCCAA